AGAAATATTCATTGGACATCAAGATTTTTGTATCTTTTAATGGATATCATTTAGTATGTTGAGCAATCCTACGCATTATAGTCGTTCATGGGTGACCCAGTCGATAATGCCATAACCCGTGTATATCGGGATTAACATGTTTCCATGGCATAGTGGCATAGGATTAGAAAGCTCGAATTTGGACACAATACAATTAAGAATTGAGCATAAAGGGTTAAGGGTAATATTGTTATATACATGAATTTTTCGTTTATTTATAATAACTAGTAAAGGAAGGGGCTTATTGGTGAAAGGGATATAAGCCATAAACCTAGAATAATAAAGATGTGGAGTTATGCACAAAAACCCCATAATTAAAAGAAAAGAAGAAAAAAGAAAAATCAAGAATCCCAAATAGGGCCAAAAGCAGCGATCCTAGAAGCTTTGCATGCATTGACCACGTCCTTGCTTCCCTGAGGATTACTTGTCACAATCACCACCTCCGCCCCAAATTTCTTCGCCGTCTCAACCGTCATCTCCGACACATTTGGCCGCCCAAGCACGGCGGTGTCGTGAACTATTACCTTCTCCTCCGGGTGCCCACTCATCCACTCCTTAATCTCTCGTCCGAAATTCTGCTCAACCCCTTTTGTCACCCGGAGCAAGCACACGTCAGCCTTGCATGGCTGCAAGAGAAACGAAAGGAAGACGCAGATTCCAGAACCAGTGGCCACCAAAAGAACCTTACCGTACATGTTCGTTAGATACGGCAACCCGGCGAAGTGCACCTGCAATTCGTTGTCTTCTATAAATACCGGTGCTAATGCTGTTTCCGACAATTAGTACGGCTCTTTCGACCCTGCACACAAACACTAGGTGGGTCTTCTGCTGCCATGTGTATTTCTTTGTATATATATAATAAATATTTAAATATTACACGTGGCATGGCGCAGGAGAATTACAAACTTTGTGCTAGGCTTGAAATATTAATTTCCATTTTTTTTTGTGAGATTGTATTTAAATTGGGCTTCGACTCAATCCACAACCCAAATCAACTGGGATGCTGGGCTGCCTTTTTTTATTCCACAGGCCTGAAATATATAATTTATTGCATTCAACACAACAATACTTACTTAAATTAAAGGGTAAATTACGAAAACCCCTAAACTAGGCTAAATAACAAAAAAGGCCTCCACCTATTCATAATTACTCAAAAAACCCCTCTGATTAGGTTAAATTTTCTTACCCCCAAAATGTGGTAAATTCATCTAAATTGATGTGCTTTGCACGGTTAGTTAAAGCAAATCGGATAACAAAATATACATAATAAGGCCCCGTTTGGTTGGCAAGATAAGATTAGTTAAGATAAGATTAAATAATTTAATGAGTCTCAATTATTTTATTGGAGCTTGAAACGTCCAATAAAAAAACTCATTAGAAGACAAGATAAGCAGTAATTATATAATTTTGGCGGGTCGACCCGGCAATTTGTTGAGAATACCAAATATCAAATTAAGTTCAACTGTTTAGCTAATCATTGTTTATGTTGGCAACCAAACGGGACCTAAATAGATTATATTAATATGTTACTTAATTTGTTCACCCTTGTGCATATGTACAAGGGTATACTTTCAAGAAAATGAAAACAACTAAAAGGAAGAGGAGATAAATTGAGTAAAAATTTTCATCAGATAAAATCTCATAATAGATAAATTAGGTAAATAAGAATTAAAAAATCATTAATAATTTCTGATCTTCCTATGTTGGGCCAATTGTCAATGCTTCAATCTTCCCGGCAATTTTCTTTTTCAAGTTCTTCATCAGAGCAGTCGTATCCATTTCTCCCACCACTATCAACTTTTGATCACTCAAATCTGCAGTAATGGAATCCAAACCTGTTTTTTTTTTTTTTTAAATATAAATTAATTCAAATCTTTGGATTATGATAATTGATAATGCATACGAAAATTTAGGACCTAATTAATTTTTAAGGCATGCCTAAAATGTCAGAAGCTGCTTCAATTGCCTTTTGCCTTGTCTTTTCATTCGTCATGGTCAACACCTTCATTACCACCTTCTGCTGTATAATTTATTAGCGAATTGCTTTTTGCGGTTTGAAAATTGCTATTTGCGGTTTCTAACCAAACCCCCCAAAAAACACTTTATTTCACTAAAACCCCAAAACTTTCTAAAAAAATCAAAATACACCCCCAAAACGCGTAAACGCCCACTTGGGCGCCCATTCATGCAGTGCACGCCCAAGTTGGGCGTGCAAGCTGCATTTGGGCGCCCGAGTTGGGCGTTCGTACACGCCTTGGGCGCCCATCTTAGGCGTTCGAACATTTTTTTGCGAAAAAATAAAGCCCTACAAATTGATTTGTAGGGCTTTTTAACATGAAATTGGTTCCGTAATCGACCTACCCGATGCATGTTACACATAAAAGAATCGAAATTACATCAAAAAATCGATGCCCAACCCTTCTTCAAGCTTGATTTCGAATTTTTGATTTTTTTTTTTTTTTTTTTTGCTATTTGCAGTTTTGGGGGGTTTTTTAATATTTTTAAAAGTTGTGGGGGGTTTTGTTATAAACCGCGAATAGCAATTTTGTGACCGCAAATAGCATTTTCGAATTTAATAATATATTTGTCACAAAAACAAAATATTTTTACATGCATGATTTTGGTCATATATAATTATTAATTACTTGTGTTTGTGTGTATGAACGAGGGGAGATGGAGGTAATGGTCTACTATATATATGCTATACTAGGTGAAATACACTAGGTAGATTTTTATTATGCATGCATATATATACACAGGAAAACACACACATACACATTGGTGTGTGTAGATCAACGGTAAAAAATCACCCGATATAGTTTTCATCGGGTATAGTATAGAAAAATAACCGAGAGATGACATATGGCATAGGAAAATTACCTGAGCCATTGGGAAGATGAAGCGTTAAAAATGAATGAAGCTTAGCTTGTGATAGCAATTAATTGGACTTTTGAAGGGGTTTTTATAATTTAATTATTTCTAATTGGTTTGATTAATTTATGTTTTTTTTTTTTTACATAGAAGATCATATAGCAAATCAACATAATCATGGAACTTTAGGCAAACAAAAAACAGGAATATTTAGTAATTTTGTTAATTTGCGTTGATATTATGATAAAATATACTCCCTTTGTTCCATAATATCTGTCTCTTTTGAGAATTTTGTTTGTTCCATATTATCTGTCACTTTACAATTTCAATGCTGCATTAATTGCTCATTTTTCAATTTTACCCTTATTAACTCTATAGCACTCTTCCTGCATTAATTAATAGATAAGGGTATTTTGGTCCATTAATATCTATTTTCCTGAAATCAAGACATATTTATTGAGATCCTTAAGATTTGTGTCAGGGTGAAAAACGACACTTATTTAGGAACGGAGGGAGTATATATGACCGCCACAAATGGCAAATAGGTTGACTTCTCTAGAGTCTTTCTTTCTTTGTTTGTTTTTGACAACGACTTGAGGAGAGTCTATAGACCACGAAAATATGACTATGACTCTTAATAATTACTACTTATATACGCGTTGACCTTGACATTTTCAGTCTCAATTTTCTTATAATAGCATATTGTATATTTTTTACATTATTTTACACGTCATTCTAAATAAAGAATTCTTCAATCATCAGAATTGTTTTTATCAACCAACATATTTCAAAAGGGGGCAACTATTTTGAATACTAATTTTTGCTTAGTTGAATACTACCTAGTTGAAAACCACAATTGAGTACATATTTATAAGTTTTTTCTTACCTTTAAAACCAAAATAAAAAGAAAATTACAAAAACACCCTTTCATACAAAGGG